GAGAGGTGTGATCAGTTCCCCCAATATTATCATAGAGCAGATGCTTCTTCTGTCACTCTGATATGGGCTTTGTGGAGAGAGATGTCCTCTTCTTTTCTTTATCTCTCCTGGTGACTCTCCTTGTGTCAGGGCACTCCAGTGCTTGGCAGATCATCTGCATGGTGGTTGAGGTGTCTAGCCGCTTTTGTGGCAGCCATGTTTATTGTGGTGGCTGTGGCGGGCCACCCAGATGGAGGTGATGTTTTTAGCATGCTCCTTGGTGCTGGTGGTGTGCCTGGTTGTGGGAGGGGGGGTCCAGTCCCTTTTCCATGCCCTGGGTCCCTGGGCGGGCCCCAAGGCTCTGGCATGGTGTGCCTGGTTGTGGGAGGGGAGTCTGGTACCCGTCTCCATGCCTTGGGTCCCCACACGGGCCCTGAGGCGCTGGTGCACGGTGTTCCTGGATGTGGGAGTGAGGTCTAGTCCCTGGCTCCAAGCCTCTGGTTCCCAGGCAGGCCCCAAGGTGCTGGTGGTGTGCCTGGGCCGGAACTAATTTTTTGTCCTTTGCTGACTTCTAAAATGGGGGAACTTACCATGGGAACCAGTACTTGATGTGTGTGGCTGAGTTAAATTGTTGCTTTGCTGCTCTTTCCCTAGGGAAAGCTTTTTGTGCAGCTCAGGGTTTGATGGTTGACCTTATAGGTACTTCAGGCTCTCCAGAGACCCATTGGATCTGTGTTGTGTAGAAACTCTGATCTGGGCCTGAGTTTTTCATAAAACTGCACCCCATGCAATTCTGCATTCCCGACCAGTCTCCTCTGAGTGGTCCTGTGCTGATTGCGGGGCAGATCAGCTGTCCTTGCTATGTCCCAGTGTTCTCCTGGTGGGCCCGTCTCCCCCACTGCCTGTGCCGCAAACACTTCCAATGGGACGGGCCCTGCACCGGTCCTTTGCGATGACTCACTGGCCTCTGAATGGCTCCCTTTTTTTAGTCGTTCTGGCTCCTTGCTCCTGCGTGGGTCCATGGGAACCCTATTAGTGGTCTTGCTGTCCTGGGGGCCGCCAAAGCCCTCTTCTCCCCTGCCGCCTCCAAATAACTCCATCTGAAGGGCACAGCTGTGGCTTCTGCCTGCTCCTGCTCCATGTGTCCGTCAGCTCCAGCCCTAAAGTGGCTGCTGCCCGAAGTGCTCAGAGCAGTTTTTTCTTTCTCTCATTGTGGTTTCTCTTGCCTTCATGAACTCTGTAGGTCTCTCCTCCTCTTCCCCTGAGCTCCAGTGGCCTCGGCTTGGCTGATGTTACATTTTTATAGTTGTAGATTGATTGATTTGTGGGAGAGAGTGACGCTGGGGACTGTCTATTCCACCATCTTGACTGGAACTCTTTAAAAATTGTTTCAGACCTACACTTTATTTACCAGTTTTGTCAGGTCTGGTTTGTGTAAGTGACTTCTGGGGTGTACTGGACAGGAAGTTTGTAAGCGTGCTGTGGAGTGACATGGTCTGGTTGGTAGGTTGTAGACACTCCAGGAATTCTGGACCACCCGCTGGAGGATCGCAACACCATCGAGATGCAGGCCATCACGGCCCTGGCCCACCTGCGTGCTGCCATCCTATATGTGATGGATCTGTCTGAGCAGTGCGGGCACGGGCTGAAGGAGCAGCTGGAGCTCTTCCAGAACATCAGGCCTCTCTTTACCAACAAGGTCAGTGTGATGGCTCACATTTTAGTTTATCTCCTGCAGTGCGAGAGAAATAATCCCTTTTCTTTCTTTCCTTGCTAGCCTCTTATAGTTGTGGCTAACAAATGTGATGTCAAGAGGATAGCTGAACTTTCTGAAGATGATCAGGTAAATAACCTTAATATTTTGAATATTTCTTACTGATTCTGAATTCTCATCTGAGACAGCCAGTGCTTACAAGAAGGGATTTTAGCAGCACTAGGTAGTCCAGTTTTTATCTCACAGCTGAGGTGATATTCTCGATTGTGTAGTGGTAGGATATTGTGAAAACCTAAGTAGTGGCACTCAGGAACTGCAGCACAGGTGTCTGGACTCCTGCTCTGTTCTTGAGTCTCTGGAAACAACTGTTTGTGTTGATGGTTGGTAAATTTCACCTTTTGGAAAGTGTGACTACTTGGGAAAGGACTGTTCTCTTAAATGGGTGCCTGGATGAAGCCAGGAACCTTGAGGTGTTCTCTGTCTCTTCCAGGCCCCAGGGTGTCAGGTGTGCTAGAGCGGCATTTTGCAGAGTGAGTTTCTAGTTAGGAAGGGTCTTCGTGGGTGTTACTTAATAAAAAGTTCTGGAGTTAAATGAGTGGGAAATGAGCAATTGGGCGAAGGATGATGAGAGTCTGTAAGCTCTTGTAATGCAGGGCTTTCCAGAGCCATGAACATGTGGTGTTCACTAATGTTCTCCAGGAGGCAGGCAATGTTGTTAGGTGCAGTTTTTCAACTAATTTGACCCTGTGGCCCTTTTCAGTAGGTATTGTTGAGGTCAGAGGCTTTGAGACACATTAGTGCAGTGGTCCTCAGTCTGTGGCCAGGGCCAGCAGTATCGGCATCGCGTTTGCCTGTAGCTTGTCAGAAATGCATATTCCTGAGCGCACATATCTGACTCAGTAGTCAGAACCTGGGTCGGCAGTGTCTGCATTGGGACAGGCCCTCCAAGTGACTGTTGTACACTGGAGGTCTGAGAGCCACTGTGCTGGGAGGGTCAGTGTGAGCTGCTGTGTCTTCTGGAATGCACTTCATGACCCAGATGGAAGGAGAAGGGGGGGGGGGAGTGTGCTGTTCCCTCTCAGAGTCTCTCATTCTATTTGGACGTTCACACTTGGTAATAATTAGCTTTTCTTAAATAGCCATATCGGCTTTCTGTGGGTACTACAGTGCATTCTTTAAATTACTGAGTATGTGAACACTGATGTCAGAGAATTCTTTTTCTTTGAAAGAACCCACATATTTGTTAAGTAATCTCAGTTTTTCAGTTTAGCCTTTAGAGGGCATCGGAGAGTGGGGAGGAGGGAGAGTAGGTGGCACCAGGAAGGTCTGAGCAGCGAGCGTGTGGTCCTGTGTGGTGGCGAATGGGGTCATCCTTCCAAGTCTGTCCAGTGTGGGTAACGCCTGTGCCATGGGTTGTTGGGAAGATTTCATGAAATTGGAAAGCATGTGCATGATGGACTCCATTACAGTGTTACTGTTTGGTTGTCATCACACGATGATAGCCCATGGCTGTTACCATTGCAGGCACAGGTGGGCTCAATGACTGTCTTACTCAGGGCCATGAGCTGCTACATTGCAGAATTGGTTTTCTCTAAGCTGTAGCTGGTCACCTGCCTCTGAGCTGAGGCCACGTTTACAGATAGACATGATATTTGCTGCACATACAAACCAAGGCCACATCCCTTCTCTAAGAGTCTTTGATTTGTAACTTGCTAGATTTGTAAACATTTTTCTGTCTTCTGAATTTTTCTTAAGCTGTGGTGGCCAAACTTTTTTTTTTTAATAATAAATGGTATTGAAAACATTCTTAAAAAAATTGAGAGTCTGGTCTTGCCTAAGTTTCTTTTTTGGAAGGTGAGGCCTTATGGAATGTTCTGGAGAGCTTCAGATTTTACTTGGTATAGTCTGGTTTGATACAGAAGAATGTAGGGAAAAATAAATGTTTTTTATTATATTAATACATGTCTTGTTCTTCAGGAGTTAGAAACCACCAATGTTGGGCTGGCCCGGTGGCACACTGGGTAGAGTGCGGTGCTTGGGAGTGCGGCGGCGCTCCCGCCGAGGGCTTGGATCCCATATAGAGACCGGTCTGCTCACTGGTTGAGCGCGGTGCGGGCGCGACACCGAGGGTTGCGATCCCATTACCGGTTGCGAGAAAAGACAAAAAAAAAGTGGGGGGGGGAGAAACCACCAATGTTGACAGTAAGCATTCACAACCTCCATTTGCAGAACATCATGGCTTGTTCCTCCGGGAACTGGAGATCAGTAATACATCTCCTTTTCCTTTATGTCCCCAGAAAGTGTTTACAGATCTGCAGGCTGAAGGATTCCCTGTAATAGAGACCAGCACCCTGACTGAGGAAGGTGTTACTAAAGTTAAAGCAGAGGTCAGTGCTTCCTTGAATCAGGTGTCAATCCTTTTACTGTCTTTCTCTTGTTTCAGAAAAGTCAGTCATGGGGAGAAAGATAAGTTTTCTTTCCAGATGTTAGCACTTGGAGCAGCTGCTCAACAGGAATGGTGGGCTAGGGAGAAAGGCAGATCTAGTCACTGTGGTGACACTTGTGTCCTCCCCCCACACAAGTGAACAAGATGCTTTATAGTTTGCACTTAAAGTGGCCACTGTGGCTTTTGCCTTTCTAATATTTCCATAGCAGCTGTAGTGAAACTACATTTATGGGACTGTTCAGAAGTAGAAGGAAAAAATGGTCTGAAAAGTAGGAGCTGCTGGGGGGCGGGGCATTTTCTGTTAGGCTTCACAGGCTGTCCTAAGTGTTTTCTACTTCACTGCTTTATTTTCACTGGAGTAGCAGGGCGATGCTAATGCTTTAGTTTCATCTGGGGTTAGTTGTTGTGACAGAGCCCTGAGGGAGGGGCCTGGCATCCAGTTGAGGGGGGCAGCTAAGGTCGCTGAGTGGGACCCGGGGCACTGCAGGCGAGCTCTCCTGAGGGCTGGCCCTTGCCACGAAGGCAGGCCAAAGCCTCTTCCTCCTGTGGGAGTGTGGTCTGCAGCCGTGTTGGTGCCCACAGGAGAGTGCATGGGGGCTGTGGTGTTGGATGCTTCCTAGGTGTGTGGCTGGAAGAGGCTCTTGGAGGGAATCTCTGACTTTGTGCCTTGTTTTTGTACTTTCCCAGGCCTGCGACAGGCTGTTGGCTTATCGAGTGGAAACCAAGATGAAGGGAAACAAAGTGAATGAGGTGCTGAACCGCCTGCACCTTGCGGTGCCCAACAGGAGAGATGACAAGGTGAGAGCCTGGTGCACACAAACGCAGACGCATCTCAGAAGTGGTCTGTGCTTCTCATTCATGGTAAAGCTCTGCATATACAGTCCCGTGCTGCTCTGTGACATTTTGGTCAGCAACAGACCACATACACCATGTGGTCCCGTGAGATTACAAAGAAGCTGAAAAATTCCTGTCACCTCTTGACATTGTAGTGTTGAAACATTGTAGCACATTTACTTTATTTTATAATAAATTTAGTGTGGCCTAAGTGTGCTATGATTACAAAGTCTGTAGTAGTGTACAGCAGTGTCCTGGGCCTGGATACACACACTCCACACACTCACTGACTCACCCAGAGCAACTGGTCCTGTGAGCTCCATTCATGCGAAGTGCCCTCCGTTCTTACCTTTCATACCGTGTTTCTCCTGCACCTGTTCTGTGTCAGATGCCCAGACACTTGCTCAGCACATACGGTATAGGTCTGTAGCCCAGGAGCCTAGGCCGCACTATACTGCCTGGGTGTGCGGTTGGTTTGTGCACGTGCATGCGATGATGCCGGCATGATGACGAAGTCATGTAGTGATGTGATTCTCAACACGTGGCTCTGCCCTCAAGCATCACGTGACTACACATGGTAAAGAGTGAAAAGGTGGAGAAGAGAGTGCAGCAGCATGCACACCTGCTTCTGTCCCCACCACAAGTAGCTCCTTCTGACAGCCTCTCTTGTCCTTCCAGAAGTGTTTTTTTTATAGAGAAGGGTATTTAAAAATTTTTTTTTAAACAGATGGAAGTGTATTTTATTTTTTGAAGTTTTCATCTTTCTAGTGCAAATAGCGCTGGAGTGCACATCTGTATGCATTAGTCTCAATGTTTTATTGTAAATATATTTGTGAATTTCAAGGTGTGGCACTGAAATGTTGGCATCCTCCGGAAGTGCCTTTCTAGTTTACATTCCTCTGGTAGTGTGAGAGTTGTGTTTCCCGTATCCTCAACAGTGTCAGATGCTGACTTCTGTCAGTCTAGTAGTTTAAAGGTAGTTTTATTGTTGTTACATGTCTCTCAATTTCAACTAGTGCAGTTGAGCACTTTTTATGCTTGTTGAACATTTTTCATGTTGAACATTTTTTATTCTTTTGGGCCTTTTCAGTTCATCGGGCTGTTTACATTTGTCTCATTGATTTATAGTTTTTATATTAAGGAAATCAGATACTGGTCGTGTGTTCTATAAATACTTCTTTCTGTTTTTGTCACTTGCCTTTTAGTTTTTGATACCTTTCTTTAAACCTCAAATTATACATTTTAAAACTACTAATATATATTAACATTTTCTTTATGGCTGCTAGGTTTGGGGTCATGCATAGAAAGGCATACCATCTATTCCAGAAATAGTTTTAAAAGTATCTTTTTCTTCTACACTTTTATGGTTTTTTTGTTTGTTTGTTTTTTTAAAAGATGACCGGTAAGGAGATCTTAACCCTTGACTTAGTGTTGTCAGCACCACGCTCTCCCAAGTGAGCTAACTGGCTATCCCTATATGGGATCTAAACCCATGGCCTTGGTGTTATCAGTACCACACTCTCCCGAGTGAGCCACAGGCCGACCCTATGTTGTTTTTTTAAAAAATTTACCTCTTTTGAATGGAAGTCCTTTGTGTCATTTTGTTGTGAGGGAGGTGTGGTAGATATCCAGCTCTGTGTTCAAGTTATCCAGCTCTGTGCTCATTTATCTCAGAACTGCTGGTTGTGTATTTTGTCTTTCCACTGCATTCTCATACATGCTTGGGTTTATGTCCGAATTTCTCTGCTGTTATTTCTCCTGTATCACTTTCTTCTTCCATAATTTTTCTTGATAATCTTGATATTTGTTTCTTCTAAATAAACTTTTTAAAAGAAAGTGTATCATTATTCAATGTAATTGATTTTTACCAATTCCTCCTTTTCCCCCCTCCCTTCTAAATAAACTTTAGGATTGGCTTGTGGCATCTTCCTGGCCCCCTGGCCCAAACTGGTCTTAAAACCCACTCCTCTTTTCCACAATAATCTGTTCATTTTTAATTGGCGTGGGTGCGGTTTTATAAATATAAAACCTTGCAGACAGAATCATTTTAAGTTTCCTTCCTATTCAGCAAGGTGTTTCACGTGATTTCCAATACTGCCTTCTCAGGAGCGGCCCCCGTTCATCCCAGAGGGAGTGGCATCACGCAGGGAGAGGATGGGGACTGAGGAGCCCAGGAGGAGGAAGAGGGTATGCTACTGTAACTCTCACCCAGATGTTCTTGCGGGGGCAGAAAGGCTGTGTGAGCACGGGTGATGGGGTGCTGGACAGAGTTGGGAGTGCCTGGTGCTGGCCCTGTTCTGCTCTGGGACACAGCAGTGAGTTCCCCCAATGTCCCTGCTCTCCTGAGGCTCTTTCACTTCACAGAAGATGGTATTGAACAGAATACCTATGTAGGGTAAGTCTACCAAGTGGTCAAAAAACAGCTTTCCTACCAGGAATAGAGCCAAACCCCACAGATAAGAAAGGACTGGAGGGGAGATTATTTCCTGGTGACAAGGAGGGGCAGAGCATTTCTGGACCTGAAAGATGGAATAAAACTGATGGTAATTTTTTTCCATTGCAGGAACGAGATCTTGAGCTGGAAATGGGAGATGATTACATTTTGGATCTTCAAAGTAAGGGCCATGGTGTTACTGTAAAATGCCATTTGTGTGTGATGTGTTTTAGAAAAGTGAGGAAAGACTTTGAAAGTCTTCCAGTGTATTTGTCAGTTTTTAATTTCTGGAGTATTAGAAGTTGCATACTGATAAGGCTCTATGAGATATTTTCCTTCTAGGTAATTTTCTGTTTGGGATGAAGGGATTACTTTTGTAGCTTTTGCAGCACATAAGTGTTGAACTAGGTTGATGTCAGTAGTAACGAATGTGGTGTTGAATACAAATGCTCTGGTACCTTTGTAGTGTGATAGCACTTGGTGAATTTGGGCACGTTATACTTGAAACATATTAAAAACTACTATTTATAAATATAACTTTTCTTTTAAACTTTAGAGTACTGGGATTTAATGAATTCATCTGAAAAATATGATAAAATACCAGAGATCTGGGAAGGCCATAATATAGCTGATTATATTGATCCAGCCATCATGAAGGTCTGTGTCACTTTTTAAATCATGGAATTTTTTTTCCTTTTTAATATGACTACTGGAAGGTAGAAGCTCACCGGCATCTGTTCCCTTTATTCTCCTTCTGCACCCACCCCTGACCCCCGTTGTCCATCCCAATGCCCTGCCTCCCACACTCCGTTTCCCCCCCATCCCCAGTGACATGCTGCCTGGTCTCGAGGGATCCTGGGCTCCTCAGATGGAGCTGGCAAAGTGAAGCCGTCTCGCCAGCACTGGTGCGGTGCTGTGGACCCTGTGGGCCTTGGATTGAATTCTTCCATCAGAGGCTGTTTCATACTCTTCCTTGCTTCTCAGACCCCTGCCCATGTTCCCTTTGCTGATCTCAGCAGACAGCCTCACGTTATAATGAAAATCGAGTCCATGGGATATGAGCTCTCTGATCTGGTTTTCTGTGCGTGTTCTACTGACCCTTCTAATCTGATGATGCCCGTTCTGGGATCGTTCTTCCCTGGTGCTTTTCTCCTGACTCAGTCCCCCTCCCTACTTGCTTTTTCTTAGCATATAAATGTCCACAAGTTTCTCTCACCTTTTTAAAAAACAGAACTTTCTTATGCTCTGTGTCATGTCTCTCCTCAATCAGGCTTTTTGAAAAGTTGCTTTATAAGACAGTTGCTGTCCACGTTCCTTCATTTCCCTCAATTCCCAGACGCTCTCCGTAATTTGATTTATATTGCCAGTCTTGTCTGTGCGAGTTCTTTTCACCCAGCATCCAGTCATCTCCACTGGAGGGTTGAGCTGGTTGGCCTCATCGTGGTGTATGTAGGTGCCTAGGGACAATCCTGGACATCAGCTTCCCTCTCTCTCATGCTCTGGTTGCTTCAACGTCTGGAATATGCTTGTTCTCCGCTGTGCCTTTGCCATAGTTGATCTCCCTGCTTTTCCAGTCTCTTTGCCTTTGCATCCTGTAGTCCACACTTGCAGACATGAGAAGCCACGTGGCTCCCTCTTTAGACTCTCCAGCTGTGCCCGTGCACCCTTCTGCTGCGTGTCCTGTCCAGCTTCCTGAGCACCATGTGGGGCCCTGCCTGACCACACTCCCTCTATGCTTCTCACCCAAGTTGTGGTGTGCACAGCTGCCCGGTGTGGTAGACATGTGCATGTCTTTAAAGTTTCGTCTTTATCTTCTCAACTTTGTAGCCAGTGAGGTTGGGTTTGGGGTGGTATTAAGAATGCATAAAAGGGATATTTATCAGAATTTAGCTTATTTCATATATCTGCTGGGAGTGTTGGAATGAGGGAACACATTTTTAGCCTTGGAGTCTGATTGTTTTTAAAAATCATGACTGTTTTTAAAGAAACTGGAAGAGTTAGAAAAAGAAGAAGAGCTGAGAACAGCTGCTGGAGAGTATGACAGTGAGTCTGAAAGCGAGGACGAGGAGATGGTGGAAATTCGACAGCTGGCGAAACAAATTAGAGAGAAAAGGAAGTTGAAGATTCTGCAGTCCAAAGAAAAGGACACACAGGGACCCAGGATGCCTCGAACTGCTAAGAAGGCAAGTTATGTGTCTTTCCAAAGAGGCATAGCCCAGGTGTTGTGTATTAGGTTCTTGTGCAGCCATTGCTAAACACAACTTTTCAGCCCCTTGTGGCCATAAGATTGCACAGACTTTGTTTTATTGGTGTAAATCGACTTGCAAGATTGTTAGAGTCTTGATAATGTTCTCATGCACTTTCTTGGTGACTTTTAGCTCCAGGTTCAGCACTGTTAAAGATACAGTCATTTTGCAGTTGAACAAATTAAAATTTGATTTATGATCCAGAGAAGTTTAAAGCCATCGATTGACATTTTCTTATTCTTTAATTTTTGTATTAGTCAGAACTCTTAACTTTTGCAATTTAGAGAAACCTAACCCAGTCAAACTTAAACACAAAAGGCAGTTTATTGGTTCCTATAACTGGTTAGGGTGGGGAGAGTCGCATGTTAGGCAGGAATGGATCAGACGGCGTCGAGACTCTTCCTACCTCAGCTCTGTCTTTGTTGGGGCATCATTCCCTCTGCTGCATGTCAGGATAGTAGGTCAGGCCTAGGTAACGTGCACACCCTTGTAGCCATGCAGGCCTTGTGATATCCCCCCTGGACTAATAGGAAGTGGGCGGTAAGAGAGGGGCAGTTCCTCAAGAACCAAGACAGCATGCAGGGCAGTTAAAATGTAATGGGAGGGGGAGGAAAATTACTCGATATGACAGACGTCTCTCAATGGGTATTTATGTGTTTGAAGATACTGTTCTTATATGATGGCTGGTGACCGGTTATTGGCAGATTTGGGCAGTTTTGTATTTCTCCCATAGTGCTCAGTGGTCTCTGGGGGTTGAGATGTTGGGACATTGCATCTGTCTAAGGGCATGTTGCTAACCTCAGCTCTAGTATCATTATATGAGGGAGACAGTCACTCTGCTCCCTGGGTGGTTGGGAAGAATACAAAGACATGCCGTGTACATCCTATCCTGCCTTGCACACAGCAGTTGCTCAGTAAATGTTTAACGTGTCATTAGACTAATGTTGCTTAAAACAAGTATCTTTTTTCCTTTACAGGTTCAGCGGACAGTTTTGGAGAGTGAGATGCGTAGTCTTGGTGTTGACATGGATAATAAAGACAATGTAAGTGTGTAGGAACAGTTTCAGATATTTATGTGGCTGGATACAACTTTGTTAATAAAGGAAACCAGAGTCTTAGAAACCTGTGGGAATACAAAGTTGACTTAAAAATTACAGGGAAAAGAAATTAGAACTTCCTCTGTTTCTGCTGAGGAGATTTATTTGCGTGGAGTCTGGTTAGAAGTGATGGACTGGGCCAAGCCCGTGGCGCACTTGGGAGAGTGCGGCGCTGGGAGCGCAGCAGTGCTCCTGCTGTGGGTTCGTATCCTATATAGGGATGGCTGGTGTGCTCACTGGCTGAGCGCAGTGCGGCCGGTCTCAAAAAAAAAAAAAAAAA